CTCAATCCTGATCAGTGTATCACGAGATATCATCAAAAAACACGAGTGCGTCACAATACCCACCTGCGTCATAATACCCCCCTCTCCCTTATATATATAAAAAACCACCATATAAGCACACCTCTTTATAAGCACATTTCTTTAAACAAATTACTACTGTGATTATAAAGATGTACGACTGTATTTTGGGATTATTTTGATAGTAATCTGCACCAATAACGTAACCTAAAAAAACTCAGGTTTCACCCTGTTGTATTATCACAATTGTTACGGTTATGCCTTTGATTACAACTAGTTATTCGTGAGTCGATTTAAAGGATCCTCGGCCAAAAATTTAGGTAGGTTAAACTTTTAAGATAAAGTTTTTTTTTTTTTTTTTGTTTGAAAATTAACTGATTTCTAGTTCCCATGATTTTTTCTTTTTCAGCGCATCTAATTCATCTTTTAATAATTGCTCTGATGTAATTCTTGTTAATAATATTATTATTTAGTCGTATTAAATTATATCACAATTTATATCTCAAAGAATTGACCCATATAAATTATAATTGTAAATGTTGAAATTTCGTGTATTAATGAAATTAGATTGTATACATGACACTTAATTTCACCTCGATCCATAAACAAACAAATCGCATGAATGCATTTCTAATTTAATATGTTATTCTATGATTATGGTTCACGTATTATGTGTAAATAATCAGCAATATTATCAAAAGTCAATTTTACTAATTGTCGACGTGTCAACCGTTTCTTGGTGAATCTTTATAGAAAAAAAATTCTTTAATTAAGTAGCATATAAATTTGCTAAAAGTTAATAAAAAAAAAAATGAGATCAAACTTACGGACAAGTATCCTTGGATTCACGAGAATGTAGGATTTTGATCCATGTTTTGTAATCGCATACGTAGCTAGAGTATAATGAAAAAATTCAAGACAACATTAAAAAAAATTTGTTTAACAAAAAGAATAATAAGGAACTAACCCATCCGGTGAGATTGCTGGTTCATTCATATTTTCCATAGTAATCGCATCTTTCATGTTTGGCAATGGATTCCAAGGATTAAATTTAGATTTGTTCTTTGTATTCCATTTATCATCTTCCTTTTGACTAGAAAATTTTCTTGCTCGTTTGATTTGACCATTAGAAGACATGGATTTAACGAGTTTGTCATAATTTACTCGTAAAGTTGTTACGGGACAACCATCTATTTCATTAATTTGACCGATAGTCACTAGGCGATTATATTCGTATTGACATTGAAATCCTGTTCGATTGGGAATATTACGCGCAACTAATCCAAAAGGAAAAGAAATATCACTATCCGAAATTGTCGTGCCAAGATTTTCACAGAATCGGCGAATTTCTGATAAAAGCATTTGCCTTTCTTCATCTTTCCACTCTTTATCACAACAAAACGTCTCTCCTTCACCAACAAATCTGTAATAATATTCTTCAACATCATTTTCTTTGACCATTTTTGTAAGTAATTGTTGCAATAATGGATCAGAAAAACCAAAGAATAAAGGACCAGAAATACGGGTTGCTAGTTTATTGATTTCATAAGAAGGTAAAGAAATAAAAATCGATACAGAAAACATGTGATATTAAGAAATTATATACAGAGCACATACCTCTTGATGAAGAATGGGAAATGCATACCATTGTCCATGGTTTGGTAGGCGAACTTCCAGTAAATGATTGTTTTGTCGACTGACTTGTAACTCTGAAAAGTGGATTTCCAGTTGCTAAATCCTCTTCGATGGACATGATATAAGTAGTATTTGATTCAGTTCGTTTTGCTTTATAATTAAGAGGAATCGGATGATGATATAATGAACCCGGACTTGACCACCATGATGGAGACTTGTGATAGCAACCGAGAGAGATGACGGTGGTTCGTGTTGACGGCAAAGTGAATGGAACTTCTATTTCATCTAATGAATCAAACTCTTCTGCTGAGGGTGTTGAAGGAGGAGAATAATCTTCTTCGACATAGTTTGCATCAGGTATGTAGCTAACAGGCTGCAGCAAATTACGAAAACCTCGCGCACCCTTCCCAGCAAGCTTGTTAAGAACTTCATGTTCATCATCATGACAAAGAGACAATGCCAAACGAGCCTTTTCTTCCGTCAAATCAGAAGCAAACATAATAGTTCGTATCTGCGCCAAAAATAAATATGTGACAGTAAAAATTTCATAAATTTTGTATTTTTTTTTTTTTGAAAAGAATTTTAAATAACGCGTTCTAAATTAAAATACCTTTTGGCTTAAATCTTTTTCCACAAATGCTTCATATTTTGACCTTACTTCGTGAATGCGTTTCATAATAATTTGTTTTTGTTCTTCGGTCATGTCAGGGTCTTCAAGAAAGTTGGGAGCAGGACAAGAGAGGCTTGCTTGTTGCTGCTGCTGTGGCATTGCAAATGGGTTATGTCTAGTCTTATTGACGCGTGACGCCTGCTTTATTTTCATCTTGACTTTGAGAAGGCGTTATTTTCGTTTCAATAATACTGCTAGAATGAAAAAAAAAAATTTTTTTTTAGTCACCAGTATGATAATGTTCTCGCGAGATTTTAAATTCACATGACCACAAGGAGATGATCTACAAACTTCGAGCGACCAACGGGGATTTTTTTCTTATTTGTGTGCCAGTTATACAAATATTTAAAAGGAAAGTGTCAATGCGAATTTTGATCCCTGACATAGAATACAACCACGTGCTGAAGAAATTTATACAGGTACGTACGTACGTACGTAGAATTAATAATTGTAAAATGAAATCAGAAAATGAAATGAGCGTAAAATAGACAAGCCACCGAAAATACAAATTTTTGGGGTGCATTTTTTTAGCATTTTCTTAGGGATAGGATTAGGGTTTAGAAGCAGGTTTTATAATAAACAAGTATAAATGGGTTTTAGAGGGTCAAATAGAAACCTCTCATTTCATTTTAATCCGATTTCATTATCTGCTTCGAACTCTGGTAGAAAGCAATTTGACATGATTTTGTGTTGGATTCCAGTCATGTGATCAAACCATAAGAATTTTTTTTAAAATAACAATTTCTCAAAATTTTAACAAAAAAAATTCCTCATACAATTTTACATATAGTGCCCTTAACTCTAACCTGCAAACATTTGTATTTAAGTTGCTTTTTAAAGAAGGGTGAATAATTTACCCGGGTGATAAATATATTTTCTTTATGAAAAAATGGTATCACTTAATCAAAAATTTTTTAACAGATTTGTTCAATTTGTTTAAACTACAATTCTGTCAGAATAAATTTTTATTTATCGGTTTATGTATTTAGAAATATATGTGTTACGGATATACATGGGTGTCTAAATCATTTTTTAAAAAAGGTAATGTATTTTGGCATAAAGAATTCAAATAATTTCACTAAGAATTTCGACAGACTAAATAATTTTTTATTAAGAGGAATAATTTAGACACCCATGTATAATTACGGGTCAATTGGTTTAGGCCGCAGATAAACCAGTCTGAGTCTCTTTTCTTGCTAATTGTCTATTAAAGCAAAAACATATAGAATTACTTATAAACTTTGAAGCTGTGATGTTTCTTCCCTTACATATTAACTTTAAATTAAATTTTATGAATCAATACATCAAGAAAAGACAAATAAAATGCTTTATAATTTAAATTAAAATTTTATAATTTTGATACAATTTAAAAATGTAACTCTGCCAAAAGAAAAAATTTAACAGTTTTAAAGTAAGATATATATATAAAATTATATTATAAACAACTTTAGTTAGGCAATAAAAAAAGTTTATCTTAGTAAGAAAAAAAGTTTACTATATACTAATGTTAAAATTTTCAGTTTTTCTATGTAAAACCTTTTTCTGCTTAGGTAACCTGTTCTGATCTCTTAAGTAAATTTGTTTAGCACATAATTCTACATACTTTATATTTTGCTGATTTTGATTTTTTGAACTTTTTACTAAGTGAAAGATTGAATTAAAGGTTATACAAAAAAATAAAAAATTTTGTGTAACTTTTAATCCAATCTTTCACTTAGTAAAAAATTCAAAAAATTAAAATTGACAAAATATAAAGTATGTAGAATTATGTGTTAAACAAATTTGCTTAAGAGGTCAAAACAGGTTACCTAAGCAAAAAAAAAGTTTTATATAGAAAAACTGAAAATTTTAATATTAGTATATAGCAAACTTTTTTTCTTACTAAGATAACCTTTTTTATTGCCTAACTGAAGTTGTTTAGAGCAGTATCATTTATCACCTGATTTTTTTTTATCAGAAGCTTACCTCCCTTTCCCCTTTACTATATATTTTGATCAGGTTTTTATATATAATTTTAAATTTTTTATCTACTCTTTCCCTCTAAAAAATCATTTGATTTTTGTCACGTCTTTTAGGATATAATTTTATATATATTTCTTACTTTAAGGATATATAATCTTATGTGCTAAAAATTTTTTATACAAAAATTGAGTATATGCTATTAGTAAAAGTTTTTAAGGCTACAACTAAACTTTACCAAAACTTTATAATATATAGATTAAAACCTTTATTTTATGATAATAAAAGTTTTAGTACTTATATTATTTAAAAAAAAATCTACCTCCATATATCATTAAATTCTTATTCTTATTGGTTAGATTTCAATTGTTTACAATTCTGATTGGTCAAATCAATGTAAATCATATTGATATCATATAATTTGCAATGTAATTACTATTAAAAATGATCTATGTTTATCCTACTCTTAAAACTGTTAAATTTTTTCATTTGGTAGAGTTATATTTTTAAATTTTATCAAAATTACAAAATTTTAATTCGAATTATAAAGTATTTTATTTGTTTTTTCTTGATATATTTATTCATAAAATTTATTTTAAAGTTAATATGTAAGAAAATAAATATCACAGCTTCAAAGTTTGTAAGTAATTCTATATGTTTTTGCTTTAATTTTATATATATGTTGTACCCCAAATGATAATCCTGTCCCGATTGCCAATTGGGACAGCCCAAATTAAAATTGCCCAAATCTAATCTTAATGTCTGGGCTAATTAATTTATAATTTTGACCAGATTGTCATCTGAGAAAATTGTCATTTGGGGCACGATATATATATAAATTTACACTATAACAAATCGGTTGATTGATATATATTTGCAGTATTCATATTTAAAATAATCAAATAATAAAAGATAAAAATCCAACACTGTTTTTTATTTTAATCATATAATGAACTAGCTAAAAATTTAATAAATTAATTCTTTCAACACAAGTATTAGTTCAAGTTTAAAGACCAATAGAACAACCAGTAAATTTTTTTATACTGGCTTATTTAAGTGTAATAATATAAAATTAACAATTTACCTTTACTTATCAAACATAAAAGGAATAAAACTACTATTCTGAAGAAAATTGAATTTAATCTTCATACAACCATCAAAACAAGAAAACAGATGGATGAAGACATAAATATGAAATAAGTTGAGCGTTGATTGGTTTATAAGGTTTGAGGCAATCAGAAAGGGGCTTTTAGGTTTTTGGAATCACGACAATGGTCGACTCCCAAACCCAAATTAGGTAAGAATATCAATACTATCCCATACGGGTTTGGTTTACATCGTTAGCTAGAATTATGTTGATGCCGGCCGGGGTTTTTTAATTGATCAATTTGGGTTATGGTACGATTTCCCGAAAGCTATTTCCCCGACGTGCCACTTACTTGACATCACACAGGTGACAATTTGCTAAAAAATATATATCTACAATTAGCAGTGGTTTTTTTCGATTTTTAACAGCTGCCCTACCTTGTTTAATGCGTCGAAAGTGCATAGGGAGAGCATTTTCCTGCCTTGCGAACACAAAGTAAATTTCCAATTATATATATAATCGGAAATTTTACTTTGTGTTCACAAGGTAGGAAAATGCTCTCCCTATGCAAACTCGAGGTACACTCGACGTACCCCTGATGCACTTTCAACGCATTAAACAAGGTAGGGCAGCTGTTAAAAATCAAAAAAAACCACTGCTTCTACAACTAACAAAATGCTAACCCTAACCCTATGTGATGTCGGGTAAATAGTTTTTCAGGAAAGTGGGTTTCGGGAAAGTGAGAATCAACGATCAATTTGACCCGTAACATATATACGTATATAAAATTGTTAATTGATTAATCAAAATTCATTATACAAAAATTATCCAATCATCATTGGTTATGTAGAACGTTTGCCAATGAATTTAACTATGTACGTACGTATTAATCTATATAACTACGTATCAGCTATGCTTTTCATATGAGTGTCGTCAAAGGAAAACCTACAACTCTAAAAATAGATTATATATTATGAAAATCATAATAATCTATTTTTAGGTTGTAGGTTTATTAAATTCTTTATGTCAAAATCTGCAAACATGACAATGACGTGAAAAAGATTAAACTAACATAATTGATCGAACTGCGGATTTTGTAATTAAATAATCGACCAATAAGAAGTATATTATCCTATTATTTGTATTTTTAATGTAGATTTAACTAAAATGATTCGTCGTAACCCTACACGTTTAGAAATTCGTCAAGAGAATGTTGAGCAACTTCAGCTTCTCCGACAAGAATATAAGAAAAAACTTTCACAAAAACCTGGTGCAAGTGCAAAGGGTAAAAGGAAAAGTATGGAAATCGAAGAGAAAGTAGATCCAAATTTAAACCTTCAACAAGCGGAACCTCAAGAGCAAGAACCAATTGTGGGCGCAGAAGAACTTCAAAATAGAAGAAATAACATGTAAAATTAAAATACGTTTTCTTTGCAGATATTTGCTTGTCAATCATTTTATTTATCAAACTACCTCATAATTATAGGACCGTGGAAGAGAGGATTGGTTTAGTTGGAAACGGAGATCAGTAGTTGTATAGTGTAGGTTTTCAACCAAGCTTTTTCTTTGAATGATGACATGATTACGTAGTTTGGGTCTGAAATCAGGATTTCTACTTTATTGGGATAATAGTCAATTCACCCTATAGCAGATAGTGTCGAACTCAAATTTATTAAACCGATGTTATAAGTTATTAAAATTTTCAAATTAAGAACATTGAGTGATTTGACGACTAAACAGGACTGTTAAATAAATTATATATCAGGTCCAATAGTTATATCGGAATTAATTATAAAAGTCCTTCACAACCACAGTAAAGGTAAATTGTTAATTTTATATTATTACACTTAAATAAGCCAGTATAAAAA